GTGGCTTACACTCTGCTGTGGATTAAACCTCCAAACTGTTTTCATGTTGTATTTTAACTGGGGCCGCCTACTAGCTAATATCAATTCATTTCAAAGTCGTTTTAGGGTCCAGAGTCAAAACTAATTATATACAAACACGCACAGTTGTTGTAGGCTTGACGCCAATTTTGAGCAGGACAGGCTATACGTAACGGCAAGTATATCGAGTGAAAGAAGAAACCAGGAAAACCCAGAGAAAATCTATGACTCCTACTCGCAAGCTTTTTCACATGCACATCATAAATACGCCCGAGACTTAAACCCACACAGACAGAGAGGTAAGATCTCTGTGATATGTAAAGGTGAACGCCTTACACCATTTGGACACCCCGGGAAGTTTCCCGGACTTCAGCCTCTAAGGGTGGCTGTTATCAGTCTGAATTACGTCCTGAATTATAAAACCTAGGAACTACAATGGGAGTAAAATTCTTAAACGTGATAACGAGTATAATTTGAATTACCTCAAGAACTTCAAGCGTTCAACCCCTCCATTACTGTTAAAATGTGTGCAGGCAACAACTCACGCTTCTGGCCGTAAGAAAACGAAATTAATTCTCACTGAGGACGGATTAATTGCACAATCAAGGTAAGGATTGCCCTATGATTGAACGACAAGGGTTAACCGATTACCTAATACACCTCTCTGGAATCGACCTATTTTTGGCCAGATCTCGTGATAATATCTCTACCTACATGTATTTAGATACACACCACACATGCACTGTATGTTACCTCCATATTTTCCAAATAAATATTTGAGGTCTTGAAAAGAGCTCTTCAATAACTTTCCATTATAAAGCTTAAGATTTTAGCCCTAGTGTCGTGGTGACGTGGTCCTGTTCGACCGAAACCAGCATTTCAACCTTCTTTGTATTAGGGGGGAAGTGTTTTTCATGTGGGTTTTCTTTGGAAGGGGGGGATATGGAACAATATTAGGGAGTATGACCAGGATTCATGATGTTATATAATAATAATAATAATAATAATAATAATAATAATAATAATAATAATAATAATTGTTATTATTATTATTATTATTATTATTATTATTATTATTATTATTATTATTATTATTATTATTATTATTATTATTATTATTATTATTATTAAATAATAATAATAATAATAATAATAATAATAATAATAATAATAATAATAATAATAATAATAATAATAATAATAAAAAGGAAAAGGAACGAATGTTTGACATCAACATCGATGTTTGTTTCTTAATTCTAGCTATACAGCAACAAAAAGCCAAACAATGTTTGTATCGTGCTATTGCTGTGTTTTGCTGATGTCATATATCTGCTACAGAGTGAATAGGGAACCAGGGTTAAAATATAGAGTATATCTCATGATAGGACGAAAACAACATAGGTTTTCCGATTGTGTTATTTGTTATTGTTGTTGTTTACTTCAAAAAGTAGTTCTCGGTAAATAAAAATATAGTCCAAATCTGAAGACCAAAATGGGCGATCAGCTTATCATGTAGCATTATCGTCGGATAAATACCGTAATCACCGTCTGCACTCATTGCATATTTCCGCCGTTTAAAATTTGTTAACCTCTTGTAATTTGACTTCTGCTCTACGGATTCTGACTCACAAAATTCAAAACACAAATATGTACGTGTACGTACGACCGAATAGTTACTCAAGTTTGAAAATCATTATTTGCGATATTTTATTATATATGTGAAATTGTTTAACATACAGAAGTAAAAATAAGTAGTTAATTTTTCATTTTGGTAGTTTTATTTCCATTGTATGCTAACTGTTTTGGATCATTTCCCTTCTGTTTTCCTTCATTTGTTTTCATTCTTACTTTTACTTCGTGTTTGGGTCTTTGCTAAAATTGTGTATTGTAGTCATTTCTTGACTAAATGTAATTTAGTATGCTTCCTCAAGATATATTGTCCGTATATCCTGGGTTCTTCACAATAAAGTGTCTTTATACCCTGGGTTGAGCAGCTCTTCTCTTACCAAGTAGGGGCCCCGAGTGGCCGAGTGGTCTAAAGCGCTGTCCGTTACGGATCACTGCCATCTCACCTCTGTCTGCGTGGGTTCGAATCTAGGATTCGGCGATTGTGGATATGTGAGAAAGCTTGCCAGTAGCTTCTCGTGGGTCGGTGGTTCTTATCGGTGATTTCCCGGTTTCTTCCTCCACCATTAATACTGGCCGCCATGAATAGCCTATCGTGTGCTGAAAAATGGCGTTAAGCCCAACAACAACAACTTACCAAGTATATTTACAAGAAACATTGCACCCCTTTATGCTGTAAATCAATGACACGACTCCATAGATGTCATATGACGCATTTGGTCTGTCATACAAATTGACCTATCAAGATTGTCATCGCTTCTACTTCAAAATTGTCAGGGTAGATCAATGAAACTGACAGGACTGTAAAATACCTGGATCAGAGATTTAAGATTTGTGGATTTTTCTAGATTTTATTTTATCCCAAGACGCAACTAAGATATGTGAGTATACACATGATTAGAACTCCAACAAAGAACGATGAATGAACAGGAAAAGTGGAAAGTTTGAAGATAAAGAAACAGTGACATATACATAATGTGTATTGAGTTATACTCTGTAGAAAGAGGCAGATTATTGACATTTCGATAAAATGATTGCACAGAATTTAGAAAAGTTTTTAGTGTATAGTTGTTATCACGGTTCGTGACGTTATACAATTCTTCAACATTTGTTCTGTAGTATAGTATTCATGGGATAAGAATAGTTTCCTAACCACCGTGCAAACTTTACATTTGAACAATTAATGAAATTCATTGATCTTTACACAGGTCACACATTTGATAACGTCTATCAATACTACTAAAAGGATCCATCTTCAACAGAATGATTATGTTTAAAGTTTTAAAATAAAGTGTTTTTGCGAGTGTCGGTGGCAGAAAGATAATGCATCCTACATAACAGTGTATAAACTTAAGTTTTATCTAATTAGTACATTTATATGAAGTAAAGCCTCATTTTCCCATCATTGCTCATGCATTTGTCTTATTGTTATTTTGACAGATCATATGATTGAGTAATACTACGTGCAGATCAATAGACTACGCTGTACAATTGACTGATTAAACAATTGATATTTTGACCGATCCTATGATTGAGTAATACTACGTGCAGATCAATAGACTACGCTGTACAATTGACTGATTAAACAATTGATATTTTGACAGATCATACGATTTAGTAATACTACGCGCAGATCAACAGACTGCGCTGTACAATTGACTGATTAAACAATTGATAGATATTTCGACAGATCTTATGATTGAGTAATACTACGCGCAGATCAACAGACTGCGCTGTACAATTGACTGATTAAACAATTGATATATATTTCGACAGATCATATGATTGAGTAATACTGCGTGCAGATCAACAGACTGCGCTGTACAATTGACTGATTAAACAATTGATAGATATTTTGACCAATCATATGATTGAGTAATAATACTACGTACAGATCAATAGATCTCAATTCCTGTCGTGCCATTTATTGTTTAAAAAATATCTGACTATGTCCCTCATTCCCCACATAAAAAGTCAGCTTCAAAATGTTTTTATTTGTATCAATCATTTCATTTTCATAACAACCTTGTGCTTATTTTATTTATTTATTTTTTTCATTATCATTTTTTGAACTTATTTTCCATAGATAACATAATCCATACCAAGAAAGCTTCAAAACATTATTGATTTTCAATATAAACTGGCTGATTTGGTCATACTAAATGTTGGTACTGACATAATATTGCAAATATTGCTTCATATTCATTTGAGCAAAACTTGTGTAAGTGTCTCTCAAGGTAATAAAAACTTGGTTTTTGAAAACAATGCAATTATGTGGTTGTGTATGATAGTAATACAAATTTTATAAACTAAAGGTCATATCATGTTTTATTTTGGAATTATCACCGCATGATTATTTATTTTGCAATGTCATAATATTGAAAATGTTAGCTGTGTAAAGTTTCACAATCACTTTCTCGTCACTTTGGATTGGATTTTATCTCCTGCTAACTCGAGCCAAGACATAGAGCATTACCTGAAGATAAACTTAGCTTTACAACTCTTGACAAAATACTTATTCCCATATTGTTTTGATAGCAGTTATAAATCCCATTTCTTTTAGAAGCTGTAAAATAGATGGAATGACCAGACACCTGATGTAAAATCCTATTTCTTTTAGACACTACAAAACAAACGGAAGGACCAAACAAAATGGAGCACAATATATGTTACCACGTTTTCTCGGAAGCTATATTCTGCACATATGTTGCTTTAGTGTACATAGGTTGCTTTAGTCTCGTTTTTGTTGCAGACATTTCTAAGTAACTTTCCAACGATCTACCATCCAAAGACTCTTTTCTAACTATGAAAATTATGTACTGTGTGGTCTGTGTACAGACCACTTATCCCAGATTTGCTATGAGTAGTTTTGTTTAAGACTGAAAGGATTTTCTATAACACTTTAAATCTGGCATAAACCTGCTTAAAAGTTTCAAGAACGGATTAAATTTTAAACCTAGACCCTGCAGCGCAGCGTAACATTTGATTCAGATATAATTGTACCATCATAAAAAATATGGGATATACAGCTTATTTAAGTTTAATCACAAAACTACAATATTCCATATATATGCTTGATAAAAGAAACGCGCGCGAGCGCGTTTGTGTTGATGATATTCAACACTAGTTGAATTTCCTCTGCGAAAAATGTTTTTACTTCGAGAAAAATAATCTTTGAGCGAATTATCTGTGTAAGAAAAATGGAATTCTCCAATAAGTTTTCCCCAGAGGAAAAAAGTACTCCAGAGCAGAATTTTATGGGGAAAGATCCACTCTGGAGCCATTATATCGGGAAGAAAAATCGGAGTTTTGATATTCCAAATATTTTGAAATTTTTTAATTAGGAATGCGAGAAAGACTAACCTCTCCGGTGGCCTCGTGGTTAAAGCGTCCGCCTCGGATGCGGGAGGTCGTGGGTTCGATCCCAAGCCGAGTCATACCAAAGACTTACAAAAATGGTACTAACAGCTGCCTCGCTTGACGCTCAGCATTAAGAGGTTAGAGATAGGACTGGTATATATACTACACAGCCTGGTGTCAGGATAATGTGACTGGGTGGGACATCATGCTACATGTCTGCGGCATGATGCCCCAGTGCTAGACATCACTATAAACTGCCACAATGCAGACATCGTAGCGATATGACTGAAAAATTGTTAAAAGCTACGTTAAAAATTATAAACACCACACCACACCGAGAGATACCAGAGACTGAGAGACAGATAAACAATTGCTAGGAGAGAAATACCAGTTGAACAGAAAAAAAACGCCAGGAACATAATAACAAAATTTGATAAGTGAAGATAAGATATTTTCTTTACAATTCATTGTGGGTTTTAATATCAAAGTCAAGAAAATACAGCAATGCTAATTGAGCCGTATCCAACATACAAAGTTTTATAAGTTAAACTTGATATATTTGGATATTCTGTGCTACCATGGTTGCATGGTTGGAAATCTTTCCTTTCATCGAAATGCACCTTGTACGGGTTCTGTGTCTGACCTGTACTTGATTGCTATAATGGAGAAACATGAAACCGGACAGAAACTGGGTCATTTATTATCAAGATTTGCCATGTCATATTTTAGTTGAAATAACATCGCAATTCTTTATTTAGACGCAAGTATTTGATTTCATTACACAGTACATTGCTCTCTCCAAAAATTATAATCCGAATAATTTTCCATCATACATGCTAATATATATATATATATATATATATATATATATATATATATATATATATATATATATATATATTTTTATATATATATATTTTTTTATATATATATATATATATATATATATATATATATATATATATATATATATATATATATATATATATATATATATATATATATATATATATATATGCAATGAAAATTCAATCGCTCATCATGTAAATATAGCAAATAGTACAAATATCTCTCTGTTGCTTTTTTGCAATTCATTATAGACTTGATAGGTTTCTGGTTCGTCCATTGTACCTTTTACGTGGTATAAATTCTTTATCTGGGTCACTGGTTTCAGTCAAGTCAGTATTAACAATAGTTTTAAATTTTATATAGGCTCTAATCAATTTGTTGTACGTGATGGTCGTAAATCAAGTCCCTGTATATAATTACTAAGAGTCCTTCGAATACAGCTTCTTGTTTATTGACATTATGGAACAAAATTTGTATGATTTATGTGAATTAATTAGGTCTTACATACAGGTAATATTTTCTCAGCAGTGATTGCTGGCATTTGAGTAAAACCTATGGAAAACGTCAGCCTCAATTATTATAAATATTAACACAGTCATCATATCGCTCATGTAACGCCCACGTTACACTTATTTAAGTGTGCAAAATGTCAATCTAAATTGAAAGACTTTATATCCATAAGAAAAACTTTAGCATTTCGAAAAAGAATGCTGCATCAAATGCTGTTCCAATTTGTCCATCGGATAGAGTGATAGATTTTACACAACGGTGAGTATGGAAAATCGGTTTCAGTGTAGCTTTAGAACACTATGTTCTTAAAAATAGATAACATTTTGCAACTGAGCATATTATAAACAGTTTTATTAGCAATTCACGTGCACTCAGGTCACCCGTTAGTAGCCTCTCTTGCTAAGGTCTCTTCCTGATCAACCATATAACTTACTAAAATCTTTTCAGTGACACTTTTTATGTCTTCTGCAAATTGAGTTTTATCTCGTTCTTTTTCCTTACTAACAGATGAAAATATCAATAGCATCAGTAGAGCAGTCACAGAACTCTAGAGAAAAAGTAACTTCAACTGGTACTGAAAGACAAACTACGTAAAAATAATCCCAAACAACTTTATAATTGTGTAAAATGTTAGAGAAAATTCACACACACAGAATCACACTCAAACACACACACTCACACACACACACACACATATATATATATATATATATATATATATATATATATATATATATATATATATATATATATAGAGAGAGAGAGAGAGAGAGAGAGAGAGAGAGAGAGAGAGAGATGAATAAGTGGCAAGATGAAGTTAAGTTCATTGTGCACAAAACTTCGGGAGATTGAACACAGGCTGTTTTTCTGCGCATATTGTTTGCAAAAATAAATTGCATTTTGTCAATCCTGATCAGTCTTGATAACAGTTTATATAAAGGTACGGAGGCCTAGAATGGCCATCAGCAGGAGTTGACAATAAAGACAATGACGCAAGTGTACATGTAATCTGGTAATAATGTCGTAATTATACATGTATTTTGGTAATAATGACGTGATTGTACATGTATTTTGGTGAATGATGTCGTAATTATATATGCATTTTGGTAATAATGACGTGATTGCACATGTAATTTGGTAATAATGTCGTAATTATACATGCATTTTGGTAATAATGACGTGATTGTACATGTATTTTGGTGAATGATGTCGTAATTATACATGCATTTTGGTAATAATGACGCAATTATATATGTATTTTTGTAATAATGATGAAACAATCCTCAACCCCATACGTGATGAAGATCCTCAAAATGAATAATCTCAAATATTTTCATATTCTCTACTGGTATATCTTTCTTCACATAGTGTACGTCTGTCTGTTTATCTATCTTCCTACCTACCTGCCTACCTATCTTGCTACCTATCTACCTACATATCTTCATACCTATCTATCTATCTATCTATCTATCTATCTATCTATCTATCTATCTATCTATCTATCTATCTATCTATCTATCTATCTATCTATCTATCTATCTATCTATCTATCCTCTCCTCTTAAATTTAAATCTCTAACGGCTTTCTTGGTATCCTTGTAATGGGTTCGAGGTCAAATGTACCATGTGTAACAATGTGGTCTGTTTTTTTCCCATAATGTTTCTTTCAAAAAAGAAACGTATATGAGAACCCCTCCACAACATGCACATAATATTGTAATAATGTGATGTTACAATACATTGACTGTCACTGAAACACTTATGGAAAAGAAGACGGGTACTGATTGTGAGAGAGGTGTAGCATATTTACTGTTACGTAAGAAATACACAAACGAAATGTAAAGAACAAGAATCTTCAGGGTTGTTGACAATGAGACATAACTATACATATTACAATGTGCAACATAGATTCTGTACTGTCTTCAGTACTACACTATATAGACTTGAAGTACTGTATTCAGTGCTTCACTATATAGACTTGAAGTACTGTATTCAGTACTACACTAAATAGACTTGAAGTACTGCCTTCAGTAATACATTATGGAGACATGAAATACTATCTTCAGTACTACACTATACAGACTTGAAGTACTGTCTTCATCACTACACTATATAGACTTGAAGTACTGTCTTCAGTACTACACTATTGAGACATAATGTACTCTCTTCAGTACTACACTAAACAGACTTGAGGTAGTCTTCAGTACTGCAATATATAGACTTGAAGTACTGTCATCAGTAATACACTTTGAAGACATGAAGTACTGTCTTCAGTACTACACTAAATAGACATAAACTAGTCTTCATTACTACACTAAATAGACTTGAGGTAGTCTTCAGCACTAAACTATATAAACTTGAAGTACTGTCTTCAGTAATACACTATGGAGACATGAAGTACTGTCTTCAGTATTACACTATATAGACTTGAAGTACTGTATTCATCACTACACTATATAGACTTGAAGTACTGTCTTCAGGAAAACACTACGTAGACTTGAAGTGCTGTCTTCATCACTACACTATATAGACTTGAAGTACTGTATTCATCACTACACTATATAGACTTGAAGTACTGTCTTCAGTATTACACTATATAGACTTGAAGTATATATTCATCACTACACTATATAGACTTGAAGTACTGTCTTCAGGAAAACACTACGTAGACTTGAAGTACTGTCTTCATCACTACACTATATAGACTTGAAGTACTGTATTCATCACTGCACTATATAGACTTGAAGTACTGTCTTCAGTATTACACTATATAGACTTGAAGTACTGTCTTCAGTATTACACTATATAGACTTGAAGTACTGTCTTCAGTACTACACTATATAGACTTGAAGTACCGTCTTCATCACTACACTATATAGACTTGAAGTACTGTCTTCAGGAAAACACTATGGAGACATGCGGTACTGTCTTCAGTACTACACTATGGAGACATGCAGTACTGTCTTCAATACTACACTATGGAGGCATGCAGTACTGTCTTCACTAATATACTATGTCTTCAATACTACACTATGGAGACATGCAGTACTGTCTTCAATACTACACTATGGAAACATGCTGTACTGTTTTCAATACTACACTATGGAGATATTCAATACTGTCTTTAGTACTACACTATGGAGACATGCAGTACTGTCCTCAATACTACACTATGGAAACATGCAGTACTGTTTTAAATATTACACTATGGAGACATGTAGTGCTGTTTTCTATACTACACTATGGAGACATGTAGTGCTGTTTTCTATACTACACCATAGAGACATGCAATAATGTCTTTAATACTACACCATGGAGACAAGCAGCATTACCCTATGGAGACAAAAGCAGTACTGTCTTCAATACTACACTGTGGAATCATGCACCATAAGCCACAATATGTATGTGATTGAGATGATCATTGTGTTTCTATTCAAGCAGTTATTTATCCTGATAATACCATGTTAAAAGTGTGACAAACATTGATACACTTGCAATTCATCTTCATTCCCACCATTTCATTGAAAATAGCCTCAGCTCATAATTTGGAAATTATTTCAAATGCTATATTATTATTATTATTATTATTATTATTATTATTATTATTATTATTATTATTATTATTATTGCTATTGTTGTTATTATTGTTGTTATTATTATTAATATTATTATTATTATTATTATTATTATTATTATTATTATTATTATTATTATTATTA